TATATTCTGGATGGGAAATCACATTTTGTATGCTGTGATGATACTTAGGGAAAGAATGTAAATTAAGTTACAAAAAAAAAAGTTTCAGAAAAAAAAAAATCCATTCGATGACCGCAGTAAGATATATAGCCCCAGCTAGGTGCTACTTTATAGAATGCCTAAAGTTAGACTTGTTTTCATGGGAATGTATCTATCAGCTGTGTTTGCTATGAAAATATTTAGATTAATTAATATCTTTAGTAATTCAATAAAAAAATGGGGGGAAAACAGTATAGAAAGTGAACATAGATTCCAGAGACAGTGTGGGAGGAGAGTGGGAGATGGCAGAGGGTAAGAGACAGGGAATCAAGGATGGGGGGGGCGAAAGCAAAACATACAGGAAACAAGAAATGGAAAATTATTTGCTGACAATAACATGTTTGTTGATGTGCTTGATTGAGACAATATACAGTGTACTCTGGATGGAAAATCTCATTTTGTATGCTGTAATGATGTACAGTAAATGAATGTAAACAAATAAGTTTAAATAAAAAAAAAACACAAAAAAAGAATTGCTCCCTTTCACAGTTTGGTGACAACTGACTGACTGCTATTCTTCAGAAGGAAAGTTAGTCCATTAAATCGAATTCAGGATGAATATACATATACACATGCAGATCTGAATGTGCAGATCATTCATCACAAAAATGGACTGCTCAGAGTAGAGAGTGCATTAATAAGAGCATTAATTCTACAAAGAAAGACTTGTCAGTGAGATCTCTGGTTGCCAGAGATAACAGAGAAATAGGAAAATGAAGGTTTTCTTTCTTTTTTTTTTTTTGGAGAGGTTTTTGCTGTAGGTCACGTGTGCTTGCCAGAAAGACAGAGAAAGACAGAGAGACAGAAAGCAAGAAATCACCCCCCAGAGGGGATGGAAACGTCGCAATCCCTTCTCCTCCATTCTCCTCTTGGGATCTTGGGCACGCACGCACACGCACACGCACCCGGCGTGAGTTTAAGCCACCGGGTCTAGGACTCGAACCGTGGTCGACTACATGGGAGTCCAGCGACATAGACATTACAGTAACTGCTGGTTCCAGGAAAATGTAGGTTTTCAAGAGAAATTTAAACTTACACTGGTGCTGTAGGTAAAATTAACCAGAAAAAGGTCAACATATAACTCAATATTTAACTTATTTTTTTATTATTTATAGTTGGGTATAAAATGGTACATATTTTGAATATAGAGTTTTTTTTTTTTTTCAAAACAATTTTAGGACTCTAGAAATACTATAACTCATGTATAAGCCTATGTCCCCACCAGACAGTGACTTCTTCAGGGCAAGGAAGCCCTGACAGAGTGATACTGAAGAAACCCAGGAAATGTTAAGACAAGTGGGCTGGTGACATCATGGGAGATCTGCTGATTTTGAACTGGGAGCAGTGGCAATAGAAACAGAGAAGTAAAGTGGGTTACAGAGATAAAAGCAACAGATGTGACAGATTACAAGCGACAAATAAGAATAAGACAAACAGATTGTCTTAAGGATTTGGGCATAGACACAGGAAGGGCAGGGGTACTGGCCCCAGAGCTAAGAGATTGCTAAGAGTTCATTAATGAAGTAGGAAATACAAGGTACATGACTTGAGGGAATAAAAAGACATTAGCAAAATTTTGTACAGATTATTTTAAAAACCTTATTTTTATAAAGTATAGGTTGTCTTCTTCCAATTTATGCTGCTCCCAGGCAAGTTTCCCAAAGTCAGCTGAAGCCCATAACACTTGCGTGCCCACGGTTCCTGAGAAGACTTTGCATCTAGTTGTGTAGGAATTTCCCTTATTGCCCTAGCCTTTCCATGTTCCACAAGTCATCTCACCCTAAATACAATATCAGACACTCGCAGATGCTTTAAAACATGTCCTTTGGTCTTCCCCAGGACTGAAATCACTTTATTAATATGATATTCTATTACTCCCTTGCTGTTAACAGGATGGAGTCAATAATGCAATCAGTACCATATAATATTTATTTCCACATGCCTATTTCTCAGGAAGTTATAAAAACTTTACGTTATCTAGAGTGTAAAACCAAATTTTACAGAGAGGTCATTTCCCCAAATTATGGAAAAACAAAGCAGAATAGGGTCAGAGAAGAGTCTGGTGATCAGAGGTAATTAGTGTCTCTGGGGAGGGAGTGTACATACAATGGGAAGCTGGATCCCAGAAGGCACTGGGTCAAGCAGCAAAAATGGAAAGTGATGAGTGGATGAAATGAAGAAATTTTAGAAAATCTGCCTAATTCTTTCTGAACAGGTTCAAAATATCTGCTTACTCAAATTATAATTTTGTTTTGCTATCAGGCAGGTGCACTTGTCAGAAAGAGAGAGAAAGACAGACAGACAGACAGAGAGAGAGAGAAAGTGATAAATCATCCT